AATAATAATAATAATAATAATAATAATAATAATAATAATAAAAAGAGGGACTCAAGCGTGGCATGTAAGTTCATTCTTTTTTTTTTTTCTTTTTCACTATTAGTACACACATTTACACACGCATACTCCTGTTTGCAATCTTCTTTACTAGCTTTCATAGTAGTAGTGGCAGTGGTAGAGGAGGTAGTAGTACTAGTAATAGCAATATCAATACCAATATTAATAATACTATTAATAATACTATTAATAATAATAATACTAATAATACTATTAATAGTAATAATACTAATAATGATAATAATACTATTAATAATAATAATACTAATAATAATAATGATACTATTAATAGTAAGTACAATAAAATAATAACAAGGGCAATAACAAGTACACCTTCTCCTCCTCCTCCTCCTGCAGCCATTCCACCCGCTTCGCCAGATACAGCATTTCATCCATATACAAAACAAACAAGCACCAAAAAGGAGTAGCAGCCGTTGCTGTCGCAAGAATACTTACAGTAAAAAATAATAAACAATAATAACAAACAGTAATAATAATAATAACAAACAATAACAACAACAAAAACGCAATAAAATAATAATAATAATAAAAAAAAAAAAAAAGAAGCAACGTCTCAAGTTCCACGTTGCACGAGTAAAAGTAAACAAAGTTGTTGAGATAAGAACGGTTAGGTTATACAGGGAGTGAAACAGCGTGTAAGTGTGTGAACTGTGTGTGAACTGTGTGTGTGTGCACAGACACGTAAATTAACAAAAATAGAAAACAAACTCTCATAAAGAAAGGATACATACATACGTACAATACATACATATATACAAACACACAAAACAATTATTGCTGTTGTTTTCCCCTTTTACCAGAGAAAGAGAGCATGTGAGTAAATTTGGTTAAACCATTTTCCTCGCCTTCTATCCGTCTATTTCCCTCCCAGACCTCTCCACTCAACTATACACCATCTTTCTCATTCTCTTTCTCTCTTTCCGAGAAAAAAAAAAAGAAAAAAAAAAACATAACAATTACAAAAGGGAAAAGGAAAGAATCACGAGAATGGGAAAAGAGAAATAAAACAATACCAAAACAAAAAGAAACGAATCGAATCGAAGAACATACAAATCACATCAAATCAAAACAATAATAATATTAATAACACCTCATGTACATGCAGAAACGGACTCCATGTACACACACAGACGCACTCGCCTCCAGCAAAAAGAGAAAAGACACGCAGCGACAGAAAGGGTTTAATAAACGGCACAAATACAAAAGTCTCAAAACAAAAGAAAGAAAAAAAACAAAAAAAAAGGGTTTCGTTCCGCTTTTCTAAAAATTTCTCTTTTTTTCTCTTCTTCACACAATAACTTTTTTCTCCTTATGGTTCCTTTACATCACCGCTTAAGTAATAGAAAAGGAAAAAGAAGTTATTCTAGAAACGTTCCCCCCGGGAAACCACTCCACACATTTACTCTTTTCTTCACCAGCATTAATGAACAGCGGGAGCAGAAATGGAAGAAAGAAAAAAGAAAAGAAAAAAAAAAAAGATGAGAAGACAACATTTATCAACACAAACTGTACAGGGAAGGCCACAATGGGGTGAAACAAAAAAAAAAAAAAAAAACGGTTAGAAAAGGAGAGAAAACTCTCTACCCCCACCTTGGCACAAAAAAAAAAAAAAACATGGAAATGAAAAGAAACGAAAAAAACACAAACACAGAGTCACAGAAGACAAAAATAAACTAAATAAACAATAAGGAGAAAAAGGCAAGATTAATTGCAAAAATAAAAATAAAAACAAAAATAGAAAAGAAAAAAAAAGAGAACGATTCGCTCTTAAGAGAGACATAAGATAACACTGAAACAAAAAAAAAAAAAACACTCCGTCATTGGGTTTCCATTCACGTTATTCCACTGTTATTTTTTTTTTCCTTGAGCTCTTTTTTTTTTTATTTTCTTAATTCAGCTACTGTTTGTGTCTTCATTTTTTATCCTCATTGTCTTTTTTTCGTTCTTGATTCATTTACAGTTTTTTTTTTCTTTTTTTTTCTTTTCTCTTCAGCATACGTCCCATATTTCCCCTTACCTTGGAATATTCCCTGTACTCGTTCCTTTTCCTTTTTTTTTTCCATATTGTGGACCTTTTCCCTTCCATTTTTTCTGTTCATTTGTCTTCTACTGAATCTTTTTTTTTTTTTAATTTTCTTTTTGTTTCTTCCCGTTTCCACCTGAAATGGCAAATCACTACTGTATAAGACTATTTCTTTTGTTTGTGAACTCGTTAAAACATTTTCAGTTCTTCTGCCTTTGTAATGACCACTTAAACTGGGAAACTCATTCTTCCAGTAACCATTATCATCACGCCCTTCCCCCTCTTTTCACTTCTGGCATCTCTTCTTTGTGTGTTCCCTCTTTATTTTTGTTTTTAATTCTTTATTTAGCCCCTCAGGGGCTGCTCTGATCTTCTCTGGTGTGTGGGGCGGGGCATTTTACTCCGTGCGGGGTGGTGAGAGCCGCTCCTCTGCGGTGGTGATGGCGTACGGATTGTTGCGTCTCGTTGGACTGATCATCCGTGATTTGACCGCGTCCGTCTGCGAGGAGTACGCCACGCTGCGCTCCGCCGATGGTGATCCCTCGCCGGACATTGGCGCTGGTGGTTGTATTTGTGTTTGTGGAGATGGCGGCAGTTGTTGTTTCTGCTCCCCATCGCGGTGGACGGGGACGTTGGTGTCGATGTCTGTTGGGGTGCCGCTGCCGGTGTAGACGCCGTCGCTGCCGTACTTCTGCGCGACGAACATCGCGACTTGACTGCCGTTCATGTACTGCGGCCCCTGGCGGCTGCGCACGTTGACGGTGATGTCGGAGACGGGGGAGTCGCCGCGGGAGACGCCGTGGAGTGTGATACCGCTGTTGAGAGAATTGCCGAGGGAAGAGTTGAGGCCGGCGACAACATGCAAGAAACGGCAGTTCTCACCCATTCGACATAAGTGTTTCGTGCGGAAATGGGCACAATGCTGCATCTTCTTCTTTGGAATGGTTCCTTCCGCATCATATGCCGTCATGTATTGGCGGGATCCCAATGTCATCAACACCTGATCTCCTGGGTAGTCTACAAAGGACTCGTTGCTGTTCTGCTCAAACACACGCACAATAATATCAGGTCGAAGACGAGGGTAATGAATGAGCATTTCAGGTTCAGCAATGTGTGTCGTGGTGCTTTCCACAACAGAGAGGTCCTCAAAGACGGTGTGAATATCTTCACAAGTAGCACCAAAATCACATTTCCCTTGTATGGTCATAGCCTCACAAAGTTTAAACTTGGCCTTAAAATTATCACCGTGTTCATTATGCATTCTCACATACTCGTTGCTTCCACGTGTAGGTAATATAAATTCACTTGGAATATTGTAATAACGTGTCATTCGTGGATCATAGCATTGAACAAAAAATCCAGCTTCGTAGAGACCTGTGTTTTTATTAATATCTTGTGTAATATACTGCCACGTGTATTCTTGTGCGACATGAACCTTAGGGCAATATTCACCAAGAGGACAAGTTTGCTTATACATATATTCTTCGCAGACAGCCGCACCATTTTGGGCTCTTGCAGCCGTTGGCACCACGCGGTTCAATCGTGTGCAGATCACCATATTTGAACATGGACAAACCAAACGTACTGTGACGTGGCGATCATGATAAGCGGAGGAGGCTCCTGAATTAGGACTGCGACTGCCGCTTAGTGGACTGATATTCACGGCATGGCGTGCGAGTTGTTGTTGTTGTTGTTGTTGTTGTAGGTATAGTTGTTGCTGTGGGTGTTGGAAGAAACCCTGACCGCCTCGGTACGATGGCTGTCGTGTATTCCTTGGACTGATGCGCATGTGTGTTTTTATCTGCGCGTATATGTCGGGGTTTTTTTTTTTTTTTCTTGTGTTCTTCTCTTTTTTCTTTTCCTTTCGACTCGGGTAAATCTTCCCTCTCTTCTTCTAGTTTCTCTTTCTTTCTTCTTTTCTTCTTTTTACAGCCGCTGGGTACTTTGAGTTGTAGTCTTACCTACGAGTGATGGAGTATACGCCAAGTGTTGAGAAGGTCTGAAGAAGATCGGCGTGTTAGTAGCTCTGTCAATACTTTTTACTTTACTTCGTGTGAACCACAATTCCCGTTGACACAGCACCACCAGCAGTCAGCGCAGAAGTACAGAGATAAACAAAAACAAAGGCACTGAAGAATAATTGGGCAGAATAATAATATTTCTCTCTTTTGAATCTTTCTATTTCTCTTTCGCTTTTTTTTTTTCTTTTTTTTTTCGCTTCACTTCTCTGATCTCTAAACGGTGTTCACTGATTTCAGGCTAAACTAAAGAGGATGAGTGGTGACACGAGGGGAAGAAAAAGAAAAAGAAAAAGAAAGAACGAAATAGATAAGAATAGTGTAGATACAACATATTCATTGATATTAATATGATGATAATCCTTTTGATTACTACCATTCAAAACGAAAAAAAAAAAAAAAACAGCAACAACAGTATGCGTGCATAGCTAAAAGAAGGGAAATAAGAAGTGTTCATATCTGTTTCTCACTTTATATATTTCATTCGCTTGTACTGTCCTCTGTCTACAATTCTTCTTCTCTTTTTCTTTTTTTTTTTTTGCAGTGTTTGTTGCGCAGACTCCCGTAAAAAGGGTAAAATAAAAAAAGGTAATATGCGTGAAAATGAAAGAAAAAAAAAAGAGGCAAAAGCGCCAAACGATGGGAGCGAGATATATATATATATATATATAACTATAAATGTCTTTTTTTTTTTTGTTTCTCATGTGTGTCAGGTCATTCACTTTCGTCTAAGTGAAGATGATGGAGGGTGAAACACAAAAACGTTCCGCATGTACAAACGAACACAAACAAACAAAACGTGAAGAAAAAAAAAAGAATGCAGCGACGAAAAAAAACGACTACATTGAAAAAAAAAAAACAAAAAAAAAGAGATAAAAAAAAAAAAAACGGACCAAACAAATGAAAAAGAGAGAAAGAGAAAGAGAAAACAAGCACAAAGGACAATAATAACACTCATAATAACAATAAGAATAACAAAAAAGTGGAAAAATAAAAGCAAAGAAAATGCCATAATGTACCAGCAGGGCAATGCAAAAAAAAAAAAAAAACGAAACACCAATCAAGTGAAATGAGACACATTCACAACATTTTCTCCGATACCTTTTGGTTCTAAATATTTTCCCTTTTTTCTCTTCTTCGTTTCACTATCAACTAACACGCAAGCCACACAGGAGAGAGGATGTGAAAGAGGTTACGAAACACCAAGAATTAAATAAAAACTGCTATCGATTGGGGATCACAGCAGCTCCAAGATCACAAAAACCAAGGTGGCTGCAAGGCAAAAGGAAAAAAAAAAAACACAAAAAAAAAATGAGCAGTTGCACACAGTGAGAACGAGATAAGTAGGTTAAAATGTAAAGCAGAGGCACGAACGCAAGTACATAGAGTTACGAATAAATAAATTATTCTTTTTGGTTTTTTTTTTTTTTTCTCTCTCACTGTATGCATACTACTATTGTAAGAACAATAAACGTATACGTTTATATATATATATATATATATATATATATATATATATATATAAACGTACAAGTGCCAATTCTACCAAAAACCACATATACAGTTCACTTCATCATAGTCTACACAACCGTTGTATAGCAAAGAAGAAGGAAAAAAAGACTACAAAACAAGAAGAATAAAAAAAAGGGGTGTAAAAGAAAAAAAAAAAAACCAATAACGGTAATCTAGATAACAAGAAAAGGAGAAAAAAAAAAAAGAAATACTTACAAACAGGAGACTAAATGGCGTCCAGTATTAATGATCCCTCTCACTCTTCTTGTTCTTGTTTTTCTTTTCTTTTCTTTTCTCTTTTTACACCCCTCCTTTTTTCCTTCTTCGGATTCTCTTACAAGAGAATCATTATTGCTATTCAAATGTTAGACTCAGATATCCCATATCTATTTGTTGGTGTTATCTTAGTCTGTCTCTGAGCTACAAAATGTTTTCTTTCGCTCTTTTTCCTCGTCTTGAGTTTTTTCTTTTTTTTTTTTTCTTTCTGACACTTCACGCCACACAGACATACATACACACCGATAATATTGTGTGTCAGGCATTCCTTTTTGTATTTCACTTGGATTATCACAAAGTTTTCGTATATCTAATAGCACGCACTCCACTCGGTTAACCCTGTCAGGTTTGCCACTAATACATAAATATGCATGTACAATATATATATATATATATAATGAATAAACATGGTGGAGCGTATTTCAGGAATGTCTATTTCGCAATCTCGCATGTGGATTTCTCCTATCTTTAGTCCACATTTATCTTACTTGCTCCTATCAAGTCCTTTTTTTCTCCTTTCGCAAACCCACAAAGACACAGACACAAACATAAACACACGCACATACATACACATAAACACACATATACATTACTGTACACACATACATGCGGCAGCTCCTCCTTCCACCCCCAACTCTCCAGTACCCACTCCGACATTCTCCACAAGTTCATCCCTCAAATCACTCAAAATAAGAATAAATATAGTAAAATGGTGGAAAATGCGACCTCTCTCCGCTCGCTGTTAGCCACACATCATCCCACAAAACAAGGAATATAAATATATATGCAAGAGCGTGAGAGAGAGAGAGAGAAAGAAAAAAATGGAGAGGGAGGGGGGGGGCGAGAGTGGCGCTGTTTCGGAGAGGAAGAAGCGAAAAAAGAAAAAAAAACGCTGAATGATTCACATGAGACGGTGAGTGGTAAAAAAAAAAAAAAAAAAAGTATAATAAAGTAACAATAGAGTGAAGCAAAAAGAGAAAGAGAAAGAGAGAAAACATCAAAGGAATCTAATATCCTAGCGGATATAGTCCCTTCTTCTTCTTCTTCATACTGATATATACACCATACTAATAGCAGTCTAAAGATTTCTGCTCTTCGTTTCATATGCCGACTACCCATTATTATTATTAATATTACTATTATTATTATTTTTACTAATACTATTAATTAGTTGTTGTTGTTTTTTTTTTTTGTTTTTCTCTCTTTCTTTTTTCTCCATTCTCACTTTTCTATTTGTGTGAAAGACGAGTGCCATTCACACCATAGCGTGACACAGCTGGTCTGACATGATGTACGGATCGTCCTGCATCTGATGATCGTGCGGCCACTGTTGTTCGACTTGCTCCATTTCCCATTCCTGATCGCGTGGCGGCTGAGGAGGCTGGCCGTGGGGCAGCACTAGAGGAGGTGTGTGTTGTGGTGCCGCTTGGCTGTGTGGATTCCCGCACTCTTTCCCGTTTCTCCTCTGCACCCGCTGCTGTGGCGGCTACTCCGGATGTGGTGTTGGTACTGTTATTATTGGATCCTGTGGTGGAGGCGCCTGGGTTCGTGCGTGTGTTGGTGGTGGTGCCTTCGCCTTCGCCCTTTGCGCCTGGAGCTCCCACCGCCTCGCGCCGCACCTTTCGCCTGGCGTTTGCGATCTCCTGATAGAGCCGCTCCCTGTACTCCTGCATGGTGAAGCGGGTGTCGTCTGGGAGGGCGATGGTGATGGGCCCGGGGGCGACCGGCTCGTCCTGCGCCTTGTGGAAGGCCGCGACGTACGGGTGCTCGAGCGCCTGCTCCGCCGTGAGCCGCGCGTTGGGGTTGAAGCGCATGAGTTTCTCCACCAAGTCGAGGGCGTCGGCGGAGGCCTTCGGGAGGAGTTCCGCAAACGTCGTCACCTGCGAGCGGCGGATGTCGCGCAGCATCGCCTCCGCAAACTGCGAGTTCGTCGCCGCAATGTCCTCCGCCGTTGGTTCGCCCAACACGCTGATGATTAACTCCAGTTGTTTCATGGTCGTGCGGCCGGGGAAGATCGGCCGGCCTAGAATCAGCTCCGCCAGAATGCAGCCAACCGCCCACATATCAACACCTTTGGTGTAGCGGGTGGATCCAAGGAGAATTTCCGGTGGGCGGTACCATCGCGTCATGATGTAATCCGTCAGCACAGGACGAGCCACTTGCTCCTTCTCTAGCGAAAGAATCGAACGCGCTAAACCAAAATCTGCCACCTTCATGGAGCAGTCGCTATTTACAAGCAGATTAGAGGGTTTCATGTCACGGTGTAACAGCTCAGCAGAGTGAAGATACTTCATAGTTTTAAGCAATTGATATATGATAAACTGTTTGTGGATGTCTTCAAGAATGTTGGCACGAATGACAACATGGAGATCCGTCTCCATATACTCAAAAACAAGATATATATCCTTATCGTTAGTAGCACGATGCACATGAAGAAGTTTTATAATATTTGGATGTTTTAAAGCTTGGAGAAACATAATTTCTCGAAATGTACGTTGCGCATCGGTGGCATTTTGAAATGCATCATATATTTTCTTTAGGGCAACCACTTGATGGGTACGACGGTCAGAAGCCCGCCAAACAATACCATATGCCCCTTGTCCTAACTGTGCCTGAATCTCATACTTACGGAGAATATGTGGCTCTATTTCTGATGACATGATTGGTTTTCTCTGGGACTTAAAGCGTACTTCTTCACAAATATGTATATGCTTTGTGTCTCGTGGATGTATGTAATGTATATGTATAACTTTCTCCTACAAAACGGTGATGCTTTGGGTTTTGTTTTCTTTTTTATTTTCTGTTCTTTTTTTTTTCTTTATCTCTGTTTTTTTTTCCCCCTTTTCTTTTTTTTCTTTTTTTTTTTTCGTTTATCTTTTTCTTGTTGTTCTTGTTGTCGCCTTTCTCTTGTTGGCAGTACTAATCTCTTGATTCTTCAATACTTTTCTCTTTTAATCCCCTCTTCTTTGTTTTCTTCTTCGTTTTCTTTCGTTCTTCCTCCTCTTTCCCTCCAGAAAAAAAAAGGAAGTCCCTACCCGAGATATATCTCTACACGAAAGGTGTAAAAAGAAAAGGAAAAACATATACAGAAAGAAAAAAAGAAAAATGCAACGAAAAGGAGACAAGTAGCAAGAAATAAATAAAAAAACACATAGTCATAAAACACAAAAACTTTAACTTTTTATTCGACTATTCCACTCGTGTTCTAACTTCGCTGCTGTGACTGCAGCAGAAGGGGAGGGGAAAAAAAAATAAATAAATAATCAAAGGAACAAGGAGTGCCACGGAGTTCCAGATGTTTTGGTCACTCCCTTGCGGCATTGCCGAAGATATATATATATACCTTCAAAGAAGTGGGAAAACTCTCAAACAGGTACACAAATATACCGAACGGTAAAAATTTTTTTGAAGATAAAGTAGAGATAGAAAGCAGAAAAGAAAAAGAAAAAAAAGAGGGAGACAAGGATGAAGATCCATGCGTCTGCACGCAACTATACTGTCATTCAAACAAAGGAGATTCAAAAAGAAATTGCTCCAACTACTATATAGGTTTAAAATCAATAAGCTACGAAAACGATATCAGTACTATAAAAGAATGAATCACATGCAGATAGATACATCATTTCTCTGCCCCCTCTCTCCCCCTGTTACGATGATCTAGACATTTGACGCATGGCTTTTTTCTTCCTCGCCATCTCCTCCACAACTTCTTTTTGCAATACCCCGAGAGAATCTATTGTGAGTTCAGGTATCAACGATACAATGGCAGTGAGAATTGCACGTTGTGTTTGAATTGTTGTGTACGATGAACCATCTGAAAGAGCTTCGAGACTGACTCCTCTCGACCCATCACCTTCCTTGCTTTCATTACCTCGAAGATCCTTCTCTTTTTCCTTTTTCTTCTTTTCCTTTTCCTTTTCCTTCCTCTCTTCTTCGCTATTGCGCCTAATTGGAGGACCACTAGAACGTCTTTCGACTGATTGAGGAGTTACTACACGTTGAGGTATTGCCGGTCTGGAGATCACTTTTACCGGTGGCCCAGATACTGCCGGTGGTTGTGGTGGGGGTGGGGCTGGTGCGGAAACGGGCTTTGCTACCATTCCACTCCCTTCTGCTGCGGCGGCTGGTGCCGCATCTACCGCAGGGGCAGTTCCCTGTTGGAGCATTTCTTTCATAACCTTCTCAGGAAGTTTCTCCATGGCTTCTTCCCGCTCCTTTTTAGTGACCTCAATACTATCAAGCTGCCGTAGATGTGGGCAACAGTTAATAACAAAATACCGATAGTTTGGATGCGTCGCACAAGGGTTATCTAAAAGCCAGAGTGTATGGAGATGTGGAAGGTCCTTAATGTATTTAACCTCTGAAAGAGATTGAATATTGTTCTTTCGTAAATACAACTCGCGCAATGAGGTACATGATGCAAATGGGCTCATTGTTGAAACCTGATTGGATGAGAGAGAAAGTACTTCAATGCCTGGAATCTTTGATATAATAGACACATCGGTGAGTCCCTCACTCCAGAGATTTAAGTTCCGCACTGCCGCCAAGCTTGTGGCCTTGGTGGTTTCCAAGACAAACTGCTCCTTTAATATCATACAACTAATGTACTATTGGAATTCGCTATGTCTCAAATTCTAATTATTCTCTACGTATTTCTCTCCCTCTCTCTCTCTTTCTACTTCAATTTCGCGGTGAGAGAATTAAATAATAATAATAATAATAATAATAATAATAATAATAATAATAATAATAAAAACGCACGTAAAAAGTAAAAAAAAAAAATAAATAAGAAGAGAAAAAGAAAAAGAAAAGCCTAAGCAGGATGAGTTCGTACTCAATTAGGTAAAACATAATAATAAATATTGCACACGATGATACCACTCGATATGGCAGTGTTGAGGAGAACAATGATAAGAAAAAAAATAGACAGGAAAAATTTCAAGTCTTCCTCACTCATCAAGTTAAATAACCCACACATGTTCACACATACGAAAGTAAATACACAAAGACGCTCCCTCTCCCGTACTTTTTTCTTTTTTTTTCACTTTTTCTTATTTCACTCACTCTCTCCATCTATTTTTTTTTTTCCCACTCCCATTTCAATTCATAATTCTCTGTGAGTAAACTTCCAACACCAAGGTTCCTTTACAGTCAGTATATCAAACGACTGTAATCAAGATGAGTTTGCACTGCTGCTGCTGTTGTTGTTGTTGCCCTCTTTCTCAGCAGGTATCTCGTCCACGGTTGGATTCACCGGTGCCGGTGTGGTTCTACGGTCGCCGTGAATCACAGCCACTTGACCATGTGGTGGTTGAACTTGGATGTAGGGAAAGTAAAAGTGTTTGTTGCATGAAGGTTCCAACTGTGGACTGAGTCGCAGTCTTCCATTCACGCAAACCACATTTCCCTCCTTAATTTTTTGTTTTACTTCTGCGGAGAAGAGCTCTCCAAAGCAACGAATAGTGTGGTGATCCTTCTCTACCACCACCTCCTGTGTTGGATGTGTGGTGTCAATGCTTGTCGTGGTGAGAGTAAACTGGGTAACGGCGTCTTCGTACACAAACCCGCTCTGGATGTCATGTACTACACCAACCAAAGTTACACTATTCACACTCTTACAACGGTGAGTGACGGTGTGTCGCAATAATAAGCGACGGCAAGTGAGGGAAAACATATGTTTTTGTTCCTTTTGTTTTGTTATTATTCTCTTTTATAGGAAACTATAGAAATGCAACCAAAATTTACAATGGTTCAACCTCGTTCGTTCTCCCTCACCTCTCCTTCGCTTCCTGCCTTTCTCCCTCTTTCTCTCTCTCACTCTCTCGTTCTCTCACTCTGCGTGCGTACGTACGTACGTACGAATGAACAAATGAATGTGCGGGAGAGGGAGAGAGAATGATATGTATGTGCAAAACACACTGTGTAAAACGCACACACACACACAAAAAAAAAAAAAAAAAAATGCAAAAAAAGAGAACACAAAACGATATGCACGACAAAAAAAAAAATAGATAGGTTCATTCACACACAGACAGACGCACAGATATACAGAGAGAGAGAGAAAAAGAAATAAATAGAAAGACTCACTCCGACAGCAATAACAAGGTTGATAAAATTGGAATAACGACAAAAAAAAAAAAGACAGGACTCAACGTTATTACAGCAACGTAAGAGGGGATGATCATACGGCACCCCTTAACCGCCCTCTCAATCTGCGAGAACAGCGAGAGCGCTAGTCTCAAAGGTTGGCGTTGGCGGAAGCATCAACACGGGGACTTTGTGTGTTGTGCGGCTGCTGACCTCGTAGCGCTCCTCCACCCGCAGCCGCCCGCTGGCGACCACTCGCCGCCCCACGAGCCGCCGCGCCGCTTCTTCGGCCCCCGTCGACCCCTCAACGCCCGCCGCCCGCCACCACACCGCCAGCGGCAACACCATCGCCCCTTCCCTCGCCTTTCTCTTCGTCTTCTTATCATCATCGTTTTCTTCTAATTGGCCGGGAGGGGCCTCCACCACGTCCAGCACGAACTGCAGGAGCGGCCGTCCCTCCGCCCCAACGGCGTGGCCAAAGTCAACACGCCGCACGACACCTTCAATGTGTGCAATGGAAGCAGCGGCCGATGAAACGGCAACACTAGGCCCTTCCACACAGTACGATGCGAAACGGATCCGATCTCCTACCTCGTTATGGATACAGCTACTGTTATTGTGATTGCCATTACTCTTGTTACTACGGCTGCCACTCACAGAGGATGGCTGCCGAGTGCCTAATGGGTCCGCCACCGAAAACGATGCAAACACATGATGAGGATCCTCGCTTTCACTCTCACTTAATGATGCCCCTGGTGTAGCAGTCTTGGTTAGTGTACCTCCCAAGAGGCCAGCGGCACAAGCAACACCTACAGCATCACGCAATGTGCAGATCGTTTTATCCAATAGAGGTGAAGTCGCACGCAAGAACATATTTAGTACACAGACACACAGAAAGTAATCTTTTTTTCTGTGAAACAACTGTAAGCACACAAAGAGAGAAAAACCAGCACAAAGAAAAGATTCAATCACCCAAACACCAAGAAAAATAAAAGAAAAAAGAAACCACATCTCAAGGGGATGAGGGGAGCCAAAACAGTCCAACTGTGTGTATAAGTAACAAGCAAAAGAAAAAAAAAAAAAACAGTATCCCACTATTCTTTATTTTATTTTTTTTTTTTTTCTTTTCTTCTTACTTATTAAAATTGCAAAAGGCCACTATATGGTTTTTTTTTTGGTATCAATAGGAGCTCTTGCTCTATACGATACCAAGTTGGTGTCGGTTCGTAAACCATACAATTCTGTAGATATGAAGCGCTTTTCCTGTCGTCTTTTTGCCCGTTCCCAATCATATGAAAAAGAGATAGGAATAGCAGGCTTTGAATAAATACCCAATTTACATACGCTACGTTGCTCATCACGAACTGAAGAAGAGAACCCTAACAGAACCTTCTCAACAAGCTTACTCCCCATTCCTATAAATTCACCCCGTAGAATATACCAATCTTCCAATGCCTCACGTTCAAGTTCTATACGAAGTAGATTTTCTCTCCATTGTAATCGCTTTAAGCGTTCCAAAACAAGACCAGGTGGAGGATGAATGACAAAACTAAGTTTTGACGAGCGATGCTCTCCAACATCAGCACGTGGAGTTATCCTTGTAGAAGAGTGAGGCAGCTTTCCACCACGAAAAAAAGTTTTTGGACGTACAAGATGAGAATCAGAAGAAACTGTCGTTGAAGTACGGAATGCTGTTGGTTTACTATGAATATTCGTACTAATGTTCCAACGCGTCCTTCCACTCTTTTCATTCGGTTGTTTATCTTTGTGTCTACAAAAGGAAGGAGAGATCTCCTTGCACGCGGGCCATTCCATTTGCAGGGAATCACAAGCACTAAAAGAAGGTGAAACTAATACACTTGGTCTTCGAGAAAATCTGGAAGAATAATTACTTATCTTACTATTATAATTGCTGTTCATACTTCCAATATTACTATTTTCTGAGAAACCTATTTTGTCATCAACTGTGTCTTTCCACCACTTCATTGGAGAACAGCTACGCTGTGGAATCTCATCTTCCATCACATACTGCTCCATCGACGTATTAGTCGTTATGTTACCAACTTTATGTGGAGAGTCATTATAGCAAGAGTAGTGACTTGTATTCACAATAACCGAAGTATACTCATGTGTTAACCTTTCCTTTACTGCAACAGCAGTAGATGATTTGTACATTCGATAAAGTTTCTTTCGTTCTTCATTCTCCACAATCTCAACTTCGGTACGCCCCATTTCATGCTCTATTTCTAACATGCAGGTGAGAGCGGCGGAAATCGTCTGCGGTTCCCCAGTACCACTACTCATCACTTGCTTTTTGAACCTCTATTATCGCATTCCGTGGTCTGTACAACTACTTCTACAACTAGTACTACTACTGTCACCACTGTGTACCAAGAAGAAACAAGCAAATAAGATCAAACGCAACAACCAAAGAAATAATAAAGTAGCCAGGCTTCATAGATGAACCCATAGAAAACAAAACAAAAAAATGAAGATAGTAAAGAAAAAAAAAAAATTCGAAACGCAATGCAACAATCCGTTCTCTCCATCAGAACGAATAAGAAAAAGCAAAAAAAAAAAAAAAAAAAAAAATCATACAACCACTACAACATTCCTTTTTGAGTATAAAAGAAAAAGAGAATAGGTATAGAAGGAAGAAAAAAANTTTTTTTTTTTTTCTTTTCTTCTTACTTATTAAAATTGCAAAAGGCCACTATATGGTTTTTTTTTTGGTATCAATAGGAGCTCTTGCTCTATACGATACCAAGTTGGTGTCGGTTCGTAAACCATACAATTCTGTAGATATGAAGCGCTTTTCCTGTCGTCTTTTTGCCCGTTCCCAATCATATGAAAAAGAGATAGGAATAGCAGGCTTTGAATAAATACCCAATTTACATACGCTACGTTGCTCATCACGAACTGAAGAAGAGAACCCTAACAGAACCTTCTCAACAAGCTTACTCCCCATTCCTATAAATTCACCCCGTAGAATATACCAATCTTCCAATGCCTCACGTTCAAGTTCTATACGAAGTAGATTTTCTCTCCATTGTAATCGCTTTAAGCGTTCCAAAACAAGACCAGGTGGAGGATGAATGACAAAACTAAGTTTTGACGAGCGATGCTCTCCAACATCAGCACGTGGAGTTATCCTTGTAGAAGAGTGAGGCAGCTTTCCACCACGAAAAAAAGTTTTTGGACGTACAAGATGAGAATCAGAAGAAACTGTCGTTGAAGTACGGAATGCTGTTGGTTTACTATGAATATTCGTACTAATGTTCCAACGCGTCCTTCCACTCTTTTCATTCGGTTGTTTATCTTTGTGTCTACAAAAGGAAGGAGAGATCTCCTTGCACGCGGGCCATTCCATTTGCAGGGAATCACAAGCACTAAAAGAAGGTGAAACTAATACACTTGGTCTTCGAGAAAATCTGGAAGAATAATTACTTATCTTACTATTATAATTGCTGTTCATACTTCCAATATTACTATTTTCTGAGAAACCTATTTTGTCATCAACTGTGTCTTTCCACCACTTCATTGGAGAACAGCTACGCTGTGGAATCTCATCTTCCATCACATACTGCTCCATCGACGTATTAGTCGTTATGTTACCAACTTTATGTGGAGAGTCATTATAGCAAGAGTAGTGACTTGTATTCACAATAACCGAAGTATACTCATGTGTTAACCTTTCCTTTACTGCAACAGCAGTAGATGATTTGTACATTCGATAAAGTTTCTTTCGTTCTTCATTCTCCACAATCTCAACTTCGGTACGCCCCATTTCATGCTCTATTTCTAACATGCAGGTGAGAGCGGCGGAAATCGTCTGCGGTTCCCCAGTACCACTACTCATCACTTGCTTTTTGAACCTCTATTATCGCATTCCGTGGTCTGTACAACTACTTCTACAACTAGTACTACTACTGTCACCACTGTGTACCAAGAAGAAACAAGCAAATAAGATCAAACGCAACAACCAAAGAAATAATAAAGTAGCCAGGCTTCATAGATGAACCCATAGAAAACAAAACAAAAAAATGAAGATAGTAAAGAAAAAAAAAAAATTCGAAACGCAATGCAACAATCCGTTCTCTCCATCAGAACGAATAAGAAAAAGCAAAAAAAAAAAAAAAAAAAAAAATCATACAACCACTACAACATTCCTTTTTGAGTATAAAAGAAAAAGAGAATAGGTATAGAAGGAAGAAAAAAAAAAGAAAAAAAAAAAACGGTGCAGAGCTTTTCTTCCTAAACTAGAAGAGGATTCAAAAGAGAATTTGATACTGCAATCCTACCCTACTATATACCTCATTATTTCTTTCTTTTTTTATTTGCCTATGTAAACAGCAGGAATAGCGTAGTATCGATACTGACAAGCAGATAGATTATTTTACTGATTCTTGCATGTTACCACAACAGAACCATATGTACTCGAACTTCTCTCTCTTTTTCTTGTCTTTTTTTTTTCCTTTACAGACCTCCTTCACGCTCTTTAATGACGCCATTTGCTGTTTTTTTTTTTTTTTTTTTTTTTTTTTTTTTTTTTTTTTTTTTTTTTTTTTTGTGTGTGTGTGTGCGTGTGTATTCTATAAACCTTCTTTCACACACGCATACACACACACACACACATACGCACGATCCACCCACTTCACCTCACTCATGAGGGTTTATTCCCTTTAATTGTAGGGAAATTTCACACAAACTCTCTACAATCAGGAGAACCCGTACGCCCTACGACATTACCCACGCTGCTGATATACTACGTTCCCTGCCACGAGACAACAGAACCCAATAAGCTGTAAAAGATCAAAATGCTCCTCAAATACAGAGGGAAGCGCCAGTGCTACAATCCACACTGTGACATTCCGAAGTGATCCTAACATTACACAAGTCGCCGCAGAAAATTTTTTGATTATGGTAATCTGGCAAGCATTATAGAATAAACCCGCCAATATGTAAATAATCATGGAAATTAAGCACACAGTGTTCTGCTGCATCTGATCAAAGGCGAGAACAATGTCATCATAGGGAACAAGAAGATTTACTGTCGCATTAGCAACATCATCAGGGATAGTTCCAACAATATTATGAGCAAAAGGGGCAGATGGAAAAAGTTGTAAGAATGAAAGGAGCATGAGGGTCATACCAACACCGTAGGCACCCTCAGTACCGACCATTTGAAGTGGGGGTACGTGATACAACTTTCCTAGCCGCTCCTCACAGACGCCTTGATATGCGTGTAGAAGCTGCGCTGCAATGATAAGAACTGCACCAAGAAGTGGATTGCGGTTGGCCCCGCCTACTTTTACATTTGAATCTGTTTTTGTTGTTGGGGATGGCCGCATAATGGCGCTAATACCAACAAGTGTAAGACCAATGACGACAACCCCGATACCGATGCACTCACGTCGTGAGAAGCGGCGATGGAGCCAGACGTACGACAAAGCGGCGATGAAAACGACCACCGCACCGCGCAGCATTTGGTACACTGAGGCGTATGTGAGAGTGAGGCCTACGTTCTGCAGCACCGAGGCGCCAAAGTCGGCGGCTGCTGGGAGCATCCACACGGTGGGATTGCACGGCAACGCCATGTCCACTCCCGCTCTCGGCTGGCGGTGGTGCATGGCGTAGCGCAGAAAGAGAATAGCGACGAACACGACGAGACAGAGAAGTTCTGCGATGAACATGGCGAGTGCCTGCACGAATGGGTGGGCGAAGGTGTACGTGTAGGGGCCGTAGCGGGCGGGGGCGGCGGGGGCGGCGAGGGTGTACGCCCACTTCATGGCCGCCGTCTGGACGGTCCCCCACGCAATGTACGCCGCGGCGAGGGGAGCGAGTAGTGCCACCGACGCCATCCACAAACACCACTGAGTAAAGAGAAGAGAGAAAAAGAGAGAAAGAGAGAAAGAGAGTACATGGAATACAAAGGCAAATAAGGTTTGTTTGTTTCTCTTTAAAAAATAAAAAAAGTGTGCCATGACCGCGTCAATGGGCACTAGTAACAAGAAGAACAAGAAGAGATTGTAACCCACCCATAATTGATAATATTTGCAGCACTGGTATTAATGGTAAAGAAGGGAAAAACCTTATGAATATTTCTACGAGACAGAGAAAAAAAAAATGCTTACAGATGTGCAGAAGTACACAAGGCAAGACGGTTTTCTTTTTTTTTTTTTTTCTTTTTATCCTTCGTTTTTTTTTCGGTTTACTTTTCTCACAAGAGTGAGGGTGATATCCTCTGTTATCACTTGCCCATATTTCCCCACGCACACATGAAAAGCCAAAAGCAAAAAAAAAAAAAAAAGAGTACATCATCAGATATTTTTTTCATCCTGGCTCTTGAAGACACACACAAACAGAAACCAGTTTCTTGTCTACATACCTGAACTCCAAAAAACAAGAAAACAAAAAAAAAAAAAA